CCCCCCTGCCGCCCCCCACCTGCAGTCCCCTTCCCAGAGCCCCTCACCTGACTCTTGCAGCCCTCTACACTCCCACCCCCTTGCCATGAGCCCCTTCTTAGGGACCTGAGCAGTGTTGGGTAAATGTGCTAGTATCGTATGTGTAAAAGCATAAAATACTGGATTAATTTTAACTGCTGAAAACCACTAATAGTTCTGAATTAGGATGATAACCCATATAAGATACTAGTTTACCATTACTAGGGCAAAGAAGTATCCAAGTGATATTAGCAATTCCATTCTAAATTTCTGGATGAATAAGGTTTACATGAATTCATGACAGGCTATTTTCGATATCTGTAAGAAAGCATTAATAAAATAAGAAAGTGCTTTGTCTTCAACTGTGAAATTTACCTTATCCATATTTTTTTTAAGGCAGCAGAGTTATTTCAAACATTGAAATGGAGAAAAAATATGTTTTGTCCACAGCAGGACTTAGTGCATGGTAAATTAATGTGAATGTACAGCCCACTAGCTTGCTGCATACTAAGTCATTCTGTGGACCTTGCTATCACATGCAAAAAGTGTCAAAAAGCAGTACATCAAAGTGCATGACGGAATTTTTAATGCAGAGTCTGTGTGGTAACTTATGCCGTATATTCACCCTGGCCTGCTGCACACTAAATCTCTGTGTAAACAGACTTTTGGATGCCAGTCTGGGCTGCACTGTTGGTTTTCTTTATAATATATGAAGCTGTAGTAACAAGTCATGTAAGCAGTTTAGTAAGATTTGGATGAAGTTCCACTCATTTTGCATAGGACAGATTTTAGATGTGGCGTTTCCTTCTGTTATCCAAACTCAGAGTAACTGAAATGCTTATCTAAATTGTTTATACCCCCTGTTTGGAGTGCTGTGTCCAGTTGTTTCCTTGATCATATAATGTTTTTTCTTTAAATGTTGATGTCCTTGTCACACGTTTGCTTATTTGGATAATATTGATTAGCTATTTAGCTCAATCCTAAAATAAACACACATTTAAACTAAAAATATTTAATTCCTTAATATAAATAAAATATAGATTCTCGATATAATTGTGAAAATTGTCTGCAAATTTTGGGAGACTTGAAAGGCATACAGATGGAAATTGCATTTTTAAAGAGGGTGAAGACAGGAAGAAAAAAAGATATGCTAACTTTCTAAATGACTTATATTAATGTGTTTAATGATTAAGGTTACCTAATACTTGAAAAAAATATGCAACTTAAACATTTGAACAGTTTTTGAAAAGCACTCTAAAATAGTAAATTCATAAGAATAAATATGCATTTAAAATCACCATTTTCATAAATGTGTATGTAGGGATTGCTCTTTTAGAATAAAGCACGTTTATTCAAATGTATATGTAACACATAATATGCAAGTTAAAAATATTGTGTATAATACTGGTACATTTAGAATGTTTCTTACACTTTATTTAACAAAACATATTTTGGATAATATATTTCAAATGAAATTTTGTTATTCTGTATTTTCCTTTCAGACAGATCTAAGAACCATTGGCAAGAAATTCCTCCCCAGTGACATCAATGGTGGAAAAGTGGAAAAGGTACCCAAATATGAGTTACTAATTTTTCTTCATTTTGACTTCTTGATAATAGCTATATGTTTCATTCTGTTTGTGTAATCTGGTTCACATTAATTTATATACATATTATGCAGATATTTAGATATTTGTTTTTTTCAATGTATACCTCTATTTCACAAGTTTTAGAAATTTGGAAAGGTGTAAGCTTAGAGATGAAAAGCCAATAAAACAATTAAAATTATATTATTTAACCGATTAACTATGAAAGGCTGGTGCAGACCAGCTGGGGTCCTGCCAAAGCTACACTCCCACTGCTTGTGTGGGATAGGAATCCCACCTGCTGGATGAGGCGGGAGCTGCTCCAAGTAGGGGCCACTGCAACTGAAGTCCCGGCCTGGCCAGCCTACCACATTGCAGCTGGGTGCCTTCTCCAGCTGGGCTCACCATGGTTGGGGGCCTACTTGACAGGCCTGCCATGTGCAGAGGGGCTGTTCCAAACCTTCCTGCCACGGGTGGGGTCCAGCCAGCGGAGCGTGCTGCGCCATCCGCAGGAGACTGCTGCAGCCCACCGTAGCTGAGGTCCTGCTGGCTGGGCCCGCCCCATTGCGGGTTGTGAGCTTTTTCTGGTCAGGCTGGTTAACTGGTCACTGGGTAAGCATGAGTTACCTGTTGAACTTTTACATCCCTAGTAAGTCATTTTTGTCTGTTTGAGTACAGCCTCTATAGTCAATGGGAATATGATAAATGTATACAACTTGTTTTTCTGTCCCCTTAATTCTCATACTTAATTTAACTCCCCCTTTTTAATAACTAGTGGTAGCTTTCAATTCAAAATGTTATGGGAAGGTTTGTGAAATTATTTTTCATTAGCCACTTAGTTGGTGAACTGAGCAAATACAGATTTATTTTCTGTAAAATTTCAGAAAGGAGACATGGCTTCCCACTATGTAGATATGATCATGCATTGATGCTTTGCTTTCTGTCTCAAACCATGACAAATGTAGTATTAGTATTAATGAAAAAAAAAAACAGTAACAGAAGAAACTCTGATAATAAACACTCATTTGAGATGTTTTGTAGATATGAGTTTTGAAACAAATGTTGCTTTGTGTTCAGGTAGCTATTAACTGTTTAAATAAACAACATTTCTATGACATAGAGTTTCTGTTTTTATTTAACTCATCAAAACTGTTTTCTAAACATTTTAGAAACTTTAAAGTTTGTGTTTTATCATGTGTTGCTGGTAGATTGATTTTTTTTTTCTTTAGCCACTGACGTTTCTAAAAAATATGCTGTGTAGGTTTAATGTTTTCAGTTCCCATCATGAGTGTTCTTTTTCCATTTTGTTTTTCATTTGAATTTTTTTATTTATTTCCCTGTCTGTTTTGTTTTTTCTTTATTTCATATTTGTTTCCCTTTCCGGGTTTTTTTGAAAAAAAAATCAAGTTGATAGCTTTTGTTGTACTGAAAAAATTAGCGTGTACAGAAATAAAACAAACACTTCAGTCTTCCTCTACCACAGCATAATATCCACCAGGCCCTGTTGGCAAACAAATACAATTTGGAGAACTGGTTTAATTTCTGCAATAATTTGTTGTAATTTTCTGACGTCTTATAGATTACTGGAGGGTAGCTGTTCGTTAGTTTTCAAATGAGCACTGGGAATAGACCAGATAATTGTACATGTCATCTACTTCAGAGCTTTACCTACAAAGAAAATGCTTGCTGAAATTTGTTACCATGATCTTGTTAGTTCAAAATGTGAAGGCCATTTTCTCTCAGAAATATCTTTGCATACTGAAAATTTGGTCATTGATCTAGTTGTCCTAGTCACCACTGAATTCCGTTTCTGCTACTGTCTCAGAAGAGGTTTGAGAATGCCACTCTGTCATGTGTTTTCCCAAGACTGTGTTTCACAAAGGGCTCTGTGTTTGGATACCATGGTGATAGGTGCTTTAGAAGTAAGGGAGATAGTAATGGCCAGCTGCTTGCTACAGCAAGCAATTGCCAAAAAATACAACTGCACTTTGCAGGATTGCATGCAGAAAGAAAAACACAGTGAATTGTGCTTTAAAGCCACTGCTTAGGACGTGAAAAAAGAGTTCAGTGCCCTTGGTTTAAATTTCAGAAATCATCTTATAAATCCTTCAGGCATAATCTAATGTATGTTGCTACATCATATGTATTTGAGGACTGTGATTCAGGCTCTGGGCTTTGGGTGACCACTGCGGTGGCTTTGCAGGTTCTGCACGGGTGCTAGGAGTTATCAGAAGCTGAAGTAGGTAGCCTTTGTCTGCTGCAGTGATCCTCTGGGAGATTTTGCTGCAGCTAGCAGGAGGATGCCATTTCACATTTCCATGGGAAGGGCATGTTTTCTGAGGGGTCCAGAAATTTGTTCCAGCCACCCCTCTGCCCTGTCAGATGCATGGCAGGGCCAGTTTTGAGTGGCATTGTAATGATGTGCATTTGGTCAAGTTGCCAACCAACAGCACTTTACAAAGTGAAGTGTAGGAGCTGTCCTCACTCTTAGGATCCAGGTTCAGGAGCAATACTCTGGACTGCTCTGGCAGCGCAGCACCCGATTTGGAAAAAAAGGATAAAAGGTGTCCTGTTCTGATTTATTTTGAGAGGGGCAACTTTTTATTTAAATAAAGGATATCCTTTATAATATGGGACTGTTGGTAATTGTTGGTATAAACACAGAGTCATGCCCTGGCCTAAGCAGTAACTAGGGAAGATCCTCCTCATGATTAAGCTCCCCCTACAACATATCCTACTTCTGTCTGGTAACAGTAGGGAGCTCTATAACCACTCCATAATTTCTTTCCTAAAAAGGCAATGTGAAAGTATGCAAAAGATTATAGAAAAACTATATGATCTTGAACAAGGGTGGGTAAAATATGGCTCACAGGCCAGATCTGGTCAGCTAAACATTTAGATCCAGCCCACTGTGATCTTCTTGGCTGCTAATGTCCTCGCAGCCCAGTGAATCACTAGACAGACTGTTTGCCTGCCATGGCCCCACACACTGCTCAAAGTGTCCGGTGGCTGGGCACGTGTGTCTCTTCATGCATGCCTTTTGTTGGGAGGGACAGCTGAACTCCACTTGCTGCCCCTGCCCAGAGCAGCATTCTCACAGCTCTTATTGGCTGGAAACAGGCCAATGGAAACTTGGGATGTAATAGTTAGTCAATTAAATGATGAACTGATAAGCATCGCAATTTCTCCCCTCCTGCTGCTCTGCACATACATTTTTTAGTGGGCTGGCCGACAAACTGGCTCAGTTCTGGCTTGAGCCAGGTCCTGGCAACTTCCCTTGCTGCAACTCTGCATTAGAAACACTTTAAGAGCCGATGTGACGGCAGGTTGGTTCGGTCCTGGTTCAAGCCATATCCCAGAAACTACCCCCAGCTCTTAAAGTGTTTCCACTGCAGAGCTGCAGCAGGGGTAGTTGCCGGGACCTTGCTCAAACTGGGATTGAGTGTTTGCAGTGCTAACCCTTATTGTTCGATTGTGTAGTGGACAAAATATTACACGCTTTTTAACATCCCAACTGGGAACTGCGCGGGGAATGCTTTCAGGCATGGCCAGTGCAAGAAAACTCACTGGCTCCTTCCCCCAAGAGTTATGCAGACATGCTTCCTCCAGCATCTGGCCACTTTGACAAGCGTGTGGGGCTGTGGCAGGCAGGCAGCCTGCTTGAGTGTACTATAGGGCCATTGGCCAGGAGCCACTTACAATAAGAACTTCCTGGCCAGAGCCTACAATTGACATCTCTTCCTACACCCCAACCCTCTGCCCTAAGTCACAAACTCCTCCTGCACTCAAACTCCCTCCCAAACCCTGAACTTCAGTTACCTGCCCCCAGAGCTCCTTCCTGCACCCAAACTCCATCCCAGACCCCTAGTATATTCATTAATATAGTAGAAAAGCGTGGCCTACGACTAGTTCCCAAATTCTTGGAGTGTCCCACCTGTGAAAAATATTTCCCACCCTGATCTTGACCAACCCTTATTTCTAGAATTTTGACTTACTGCCTCATCAATGGAATTAATTAATAAAAGCACGTTTCCGTGGGAAGAAATATCATGGCCTAGTTATGAGCAATAGGGGAGACAAAGAATATATTACTCTCCCTTGTAAAATTGTTTCTGCTGTCATGCAGTATATGAGCTGCATAATGTGCATTGCCTTCTTAGAATCATTTGAAACACCTTAATGGGTGGGGAACACATGCACATTGTCTGTAGATCCTGATGTTCCAAATGACATTTATTAAAGGTCTCATGCACCTAACATCAGTTCTTCTTTTTCCATAAGTGTAAATTATATTTGAGCCATCTTCTTTGTTTTGCTAGTTTTAAATATTTTGCACTAGTGTTTAATATAGCTTTTAAAAAACAGAAAATCTGTTTTAGCTTAGGTTTTAGTGAAACTGGATTAATGACAAATAAAAAGAAGTAATCGGGTGTTAACTGCTGTTCTTCATGTAGGAGAATGTACAGACTAGTTTGCTTACATAAAATGCCTAGGGGAAAAAACCTTTCGACTGAAATGGTGATCTGCCTCTGCAGCCTTATGGTAAGAAGTTTTGATCCAGCAGACTTCTTTTTCAGGTTAGTTCTTAGTCTCCTGGGATCCAAACCACTCCTGCTAATTGGTCTCCTTCCTGCTCAAGGGTATGACATGAGAGATGAAAAAAGAGGGAAGGTGCCAGAGACACACATTGAACATTACTGATAACAGGGTCTCATGCTCTGATATGTTGAATAAGAGGAGAAAAGTCTGAAAAACGGGCTCACACAGTTAAAGATGTGACCACTAGAATTTCTTTAACATACAGCAGATTCCTTAGGTGAGGCTAGAGTGTCTGAAATCTGGGGAGTTTTTTTGTGAAGTTTTGATTGTGATCAACTCATTTTAGTTTTTGTGGCAAACTTGATTTAAGCCATGTTAGCGCTTAGATTTTTTTCCGTGATAGTTCCTTATAGCCTTTTCCAAAGAGGCTATTGGGATTGATC